ACGCACACGCACACGGCCGGGGACTCACACTGACTCAGACCCTCGCGGCGTTCGTCGGAAAAGTCACACGGACGGAGACCCCGCTCGAGTCTTGTGGCTTTTGGAAGGAGAGAAGAAGAGAAGGAAGAGAGAGAAAGAAGGGAGAGAGAAAGAGAGGGATAGAGAGAAGGAAGAGAGAGAGAGAGAGAGAGAAAAGGAGGTGGAAAGAGAGAGAGAGAGAAAGGGAAAGAGAGAAAGAGAGAGAGAGAGAGAGAAAGGTGAAAGAGAGAAAGAGAGAGAAAGAAAGCAGAGAGAGAGAGAAAAGGTGGAAAGAAGAAAGAGAGAGAGAGAGAGAAAGTGGAAAAAGAGAAGAGAGAGAGAGAAAGGTGGAAAGAGAGAGATCGGTTCGTGTGGCAAGGGGAAAATAAGAGAATAAGAAGAAAGAGAAGGAAAAAGAAAGGTGGAAAGAGAAAGATTCAGCTTGCTTTGGAGGAAGATATTAAGAGAACAAGGAAGAGAGAGAGAAAGGTGGAAAGAGAGGAATCGGTTGATAAAAGGGTGGAAGAAGGAAGTGGTTGGGATAGATGGTGGGTGGTAAGTTGGGTTGAGGAAGTAGATTGAGAGGTTGGGGAAGGTGGTGAAGGAAAGAAAGAAAGAAAAAGAAGGAAAACGAGAGAAAGAGGAATAAAAAGAGAGAGAAAGAGAAGTAGAGAGGAGAAGAAAGAAACAGAGAAGTAAGAGAGGAAAGAGAAGTAGAGAGTGGAAAGAGAAGTAGAGAGTGAGAAAGAGAAGTAGAGAGTGAGAAGGAGAGGAGAAAGAGAAAAGTAGAGAGTGAGAAGAGAAGTAGAAAGAAGAGAGAGACAGAGAAAGAAAGAGAGAGAGAGAAGAGAAACGTCGTGACTGAAAATAAGGAAAAAGAAAAGAGAAGATAGAATACAAAAGAAAATATGGTGGAAACCGACTGGGAGTTTGTCTTTGAGGAGCTTTACTGGTAAGAAACAAACAAACACACAAGCAGGAGACACGTGTGTTTGCGGGAAAGATGAAGGCAGATGTTTGTTTGTTTTTGACGGATAGGCTGACAGGCTGGCATTGACAGTGACAGGCAGGCAGGTATAGGCTGTGACAGAGAGGCAGACAGGCATAGGCAGTAATAGGCAGGTAGGCATAGGCAGTGATAGACAGGCAGGCATAGCATAGTGACAGACAGCCAGGCATAGACAGTGACAAACAGGCTGGCATAGATAGTGATAGACAGCCAGGCATAGGCAATGGCAGAAGGGCAGGCATTGACAGTAGCAGACAAGCAAACATAGGCAGTGACAGGCAGGTAGACATAGACAGTGGCAGACGAAAGGCAGATGGGTGTAGGCGGAATCAGACAGACAACCTAGCCAGAATGACAGACAGAGGACAGACAGACGTAGATAGACAGTCGTAGACAGACAGACACAAATAGAAGAGAAGAGAAAAGAACTAACGAATAATGATAGATGTAATTGTAGGGAAGGAAGCACGAGCAGAAGAGAGAAAGATAGATAGAAAGAGAGAGAAACACACGCACGCACAGACTTACACACATCTGTATCTCTCAGTGTTTACCTATATGTCGGCCAGTCTATCTGTCTATATATCTATCGGTAGATTTATCTATCTTATCTATCTAGATTTATCTATCTCTATCTATCTATCTATCTGTCTGCCTCTCCGTCTAGGGTTTATTAACTGTCATGAATCCTGTATATGCACGTACTGTGTATCTATCTATCTATTCGTCTATCTAAATACTAAGTGATGGGGAGAACGAGAGCGAAAGACCGGGGGAAGGACAGGGGGCGAAAGGCGAGGGAAAGAAGGAGGGAAATGAAGGGGAAATGAAGGAAATGACACCATAGGGCCTCTCTCGCCCTCTCTCTCTCCTCACTCTCTCTCTCCTCTCTCTCTCTCTCTGTCTCTGTCTCTCTCTCTCTGTCTCTCTCTCTCTCTCTCTCTCTCTCTCTCTCTCTTCTCTCTCTCTCCTCTCTCTCTCTCTCTCTCTCTCTCTCTCTCTCTCTCTCTCTCTCTCTCTCTCTCTCTCTCTCTCCCCCCCTCTCTCCCTCCTTCCTCCCTCCCTCCTCCTCCCTCTCTCCCTCTCCCTTTCTCTCTCTCTCTCTATCCCTCCTTCCCTCTCTCCTTCTCCCTCCCTCCCTCCCTCCCTCCTCCCTCTCCCTCTCCTTTCTCTCTCTCTCTATCCCATCCTTCCCTCCCTCCTCCCTCCCTCCTCCCTCCCTCCCTCCCTCCCTCCCTCCCTCCCTTCCTCCCTCCCTTCCTTCCTTCCTCCCTCCCTCTCTCCCTCTCCCTTTCTCTCTCTCTATCCCCTCCTTCCCTCTCTCCCTCCCTCCCTCCTCCCTCCCTCACCTATGTCATATCTCTTCTTAAACCCAAGAAGTGCATTCATCGTATTTACGAATGGCTTTCCGACTGACGTGGAATGAGCAGAAGGTCGCCCAAGTGGCTCTTTAGTTTGTCAGTCGTAGCGTTCATAAGTGATTGAAAACGAGAGAAAAAAACAACAACAGTGAGAAAACTGGAAAACGAGAAAAAGAATGGAAACGAAAAAAAAACTGTATTCAAAACGAACGCTAAATAAGGGAAGAAGAAGAAGAGGAGAAGAGGAAAAGGAGGAGAGGAGGAAGAGAAGAGGAAGAGGAAGAGGGAAGAGAAGAGGAAGAAGAAGAAGAAGAAGAAGAAGAAGAAGAGAAGAAGAAGAAGAAGAAGAAGAAGAAAACGTAGCCAAAAAACAGCGAGGCCTCAGAGGCAGACATTGACAATGGCGTGGGACAACAACAACAACAACGACAACAACCACCAAACAACACCAACACCAACACCAACACCACCACCAACACCAACCAACACAACCAACAACAACCAACAACCACCACCAACCACCAACACCACCACACCACCCACCAACAACAACAACAACACCAACACCACCACAAACAACAACCACCAACAAACAACACCAACAACAACACCACACCACCACACCAACACCACCACACCACACACACCACCACCACCACCAACAACGACAACAACACCACCAACCACCAACACCAACAACACCACCAACCACCACCACCACCACCACCACAACACAACAACAACAACAACAACAACACCACCACCAACACCAACACCACCACCACCAACACCAACACCAACAACCAGCCGCAGATAGCCTGGGCGCGGGCGACAAAAGCGAACTTGAGCGACAACAAAGGCCATGAACGGAAAGACTTTTGGCCGGAGCTTTGGCGCTGGACGGTAGGCCTATGCAGCCCCTTGTCGGTGGCCGGCCTCGCGTCCCCTCCTCTCTCTCGCCCCCTCTCCCTCTCCCCCTTTTCTCGCTTGGTTTTCCCTCTTTCCTATTCTTTTTGCCCTTTTCCATTTTCCTATTTTTTGTTTTCCTTTTCTCGCTTTCATTCTCCCTATTTCCTTTTCTCATTTTTCGCTTTTATTTTCCAATTTCACTCTCCCCTTTTCCTCTTTCTCGGTTACTCTTTCTCTTCCCCGTGTTTTCTCTTCCCACTCTCTTCTGCCCCATCCCCATTTTCCCTTCTTTCCTATCTCTCGTCTTTCCTCTTTCCTTCCATTTTCCCCTTTCCCTTCTTCCCACTTTATCCCTCTATTTGCCTTTGGAAATTGTTCTTTTTTGTTTGTTTGTTTCCTCCTTCCTCTTCTCTTTTGTCTCGCTGTCTTGCGAAACACGTTTGATCCAAATTAATAGATTTTTGTTTTTTGTTTGTTTGTTTCCTCTTCTCTTGTGTCTCGCTGTCTTTGCGATTTTTGTTTATTGTTTGTTTTTGTTGTTGTTCAGGAAGTGCTTCTGCGTCGGCCCTTCGTCTTCCATTCTTCTTCTCTTCCTTTCTTTGTTTCGTCTTTCGTAGATTATTTGCTGTTCTGTTTGTGGTTTTATGAGCCGTTTCTCTCGTTTGTTCTTTGTGTAACATTGTTTGGGATCGAGAGTTCGGGTGTTTGTCGCTCTGAGGAATTTCGGTGGTGCTTCGTTTGTTTGTTTGTCTCACCAGGGCAGTTTGGACACGGTGTCAGTATTTTCTCGCCTTTTGCCAATAATGTCGTTCAAATTCTGTTTTCTTTGACCAAAATATCCGATTGTATCATTCATAGTCTTGTATTCTATTGTATTGTATTCTTCATTCTTTTTTTTACCAAAATATCCGATTGTATCATTCATAGTCTTGTATTCTATTGTATTGTATTCTTCCATCTTTTACCAAATTATCCAGTTATTCATATTTTTTTTTCATCTTTTGCCAAAATATCCAATTGTACCATTTATATTCTTTCGTCTTGTATCATTCATTTTCTCCATTCTTTGACCAGAATATCCAGTTGTGTCATTCATATTCTTCCAACCCAAAATATCCGATTGTGTCATTCATATTCTATCTTTTACCAAAATACCACCATTCGTATATATGAAAACGGGCGTCATGCAACATTGCAATCGGGCTCCACAGAAAGGGAAGAGAAACGGCCACACGCATAATAACGTCTTTTTATTAACAAATTTGGTTGTGCAGTTGCAAGATCCGCTTTCAGAAGCGTAGGAATGACATTACTGAGAGATCTTTTGTACTGAAAAAAACTTTTTTTTGATTTTTTTCCATTTTATTGAAGATGAAAAGAAAAAGATAAAAATATAGGTTGTATAAGAAAAATAAATATAAGCAAATGAGAGATAAATTCATGGAAAAAAGAGAAAAAAAGAAAGATAGAAAGAAAGAAAAATAATGCGTCTATGATTTCTTCGATTTGGTATTTATATATTTACATTTATTTTTTCTTCTAGTTTTGTTTTCTGGTGATGATAAATGCAACGTTTGGTTGTTTTTTGTATTTTGATGAAAGACTGACTGCAAGGCAAGTGTTTTACTCGAGAGAATAATAATAAAAATCATGACTTCAGTGAACAGATACGTAGAGAAAAAAACAGGAGCTGAAGGTCACACCATTGCAACTGTGGGCTCGGCCGGGCGCGCGGGGAGGGCGGGGGGGCGCCCGCGGCCTCGCCGTCTACTTCTTCATCTGGGGCTTGGCGGGGGTCCCCTGGGGCCTGGGGCGGGCGGCCCGGCGGGGCTCCTGCGGGCGGCCCTGCGCGCGCGGGCGCCGGCCCGGGCCAGCGGCGGAGGTCCTCCAGCACCTCGTCCAGCAGCGGGATGATGACGTCGTCGTCGTCCGCCTCCGTCAGGAAGGCGGGCAGGGGCCCACGGGCGGCGGGGGGCCCATGGGGGCAGGCGGGGGGCCGCCGAACATGGGGCCGGGGCGGGGGCGGGGCCGGGGGCGGGGCCAGCCCCGGGGGTCCATGCGACATGATTGGTCCCATGGCGGTGCCCATGGCGGGGGCCAGGCCGGGGCCCATGGGCGGCGGGGCCGGGGGCCTTCATGGCGCCGAGGGCGGGGGGCCCATGGAGGGCCCGAGGCTGGGCATAAGCTGGGGGCCAGGCCGGGCGCGGGGCCGGGCGCCGGCTGCGGCACGGGCCCGAAGCCGGGAAGGCGGGCTGCTGGGGCGCGGGCTGGGCCTTGGCGGGTCATGGGCGGCGGCGCCTGGGGGCGGGCGGCGCGGGGGCGGCCGCGGGCGCTGCGGGCGCGGGCGCGGGCGGGGCCACCTTGACGCGCAGGTTCATGAGGGTGGGCGAGGACGGCTCCTTCTGCGGCGACTCGACGGGCGCGGGCGGCAGCGTGGAGGCGAGGGCGGGCCCCAGCGGCGGCACGAAGGTGGAGGCGAAGCGCGGCGACGTGGAGGGCTTGTTTGGCCGTGGCCGGGCCGAGGGCGGGGTCCAGGGCGGGGCTGAAGGCGGCGCCGATGTTGGGCACGGGCGCGGTGGGCGAGGGCTGCGGGGCGGGCGCCAGGCCGGGCACGGGCCCCGCGAGGACCTCGGCCGGCTTGGCGGCAGGGGCAGGGGCGGGGGCGGGGGGCGGCGGCAGGAGCGGCAGGGGCCGCTGGGGCGGGGCGGGGGCGGCGGCGGTAGGGGCAGGGGCAGCAGGGGCGGGAGCTGGGGCGGGAGCGGGGGCGGCGGCAAGGGCAGGGGCGGGGGCAGGGCAGGGGCAGGGGCGGGGGCGGCTGCAGGGGCAGCAGGGGTCCGGGCGGCTTGGCTTCAGCGGGCTTCGCGGGGGCGTCGGGCTGGGCCTTGGGCGGGGCCTGGGGCTCTGCAGGCTTCGCAGGGGCTTGCTGCTTCGCCTCGGGGGCCTTGGGGGGCTCGGCTGGCTTCTGTGGGGGCTCCGGCTTGACTTCGGCTGGCTTCGCTTCGGGAGTCTTCGGGGCTTCTGTGGGCTTCGCAGGGGCTTCCGCAGGTTTAGCTGGGGCTTCGGCTGGCTTTTCTGGGGCCTCGGCTGGTTTGGCTGGGGCTTCTGGTTTGGCTGGGGCCTCGGCTGGCTTTGCTGGGGCCTCGGCTGGGGCCTCGGCTGGCTTCGCAGGCGCTCCTGGCTTGGCAGGGGCCTCTGTGGGCTTGGCGGGGGCTACTACAGGCTTAGCAGGAGTTTCGTCAGGCTTAGCGGGAGCCTCTGCTGGCTTAGCAGCGGCTTCTGGTTTAGCAGGCGCTTCTGCAGGCTTGGCGGGGGCTACTGGTGGCTTGGGGGCGTCTGGCTTTGACGGGGCCTCCGCCGGGGGCTTGGCGGACTTGTCGGACTCGGAAAGCCTCTTCTCCTTCTTGGACTTCTCGGACTCTGAGGGCTTCTTCTCCCTCTTGGGCTTCTCGGACTCCGAGGGCTTCTTCTCCCGAGGAGGCTTCTCGGACTCCGAGGGCTTCTTCTCTCGCTTCTGTTTCTCCGACTCCGAGGGCTTCTTCTCCCTCTTGGCCTTCTCGGATTCGGACACCTTCTTCTCCCTCGGAGGCTTCTCCGACTCTGAAGGCTTCTTTTCCCGGCTTGGCTTAAGCTTAGGCTTCAGCAGGCTTACTCAGGCTTTCAGCAGGCAAGGCTTGGCTTCAGCAGGCTTAGGTGCCTCAGGCTTGGCTTCAGCAGGCGCTCAGGCTTGGCAGGCTTAGGTGCCTCAGGCTTGGCCTCAGCAGGCTTAGGTGCCTCAGGCTTGGCCTCAGCAGGCTCCTCAGGCTTGGCCTCAGCAGCTTAAGGCTTTCAGCAGGCTTTGGTGCCTCGGGCTTAGCAGGAGCTGCCTGTTTGGCCTCAGCTGGCTTGGCTTCAGCAGGCTTTGGTGCCTCAGGCTTGGCTTCTGCAGGCTTTGCTACCTCGGGTTTAGCAGGAGCTGCCTGCTTGACTTCAGCAGGTTTGGCCTCAGCTGGCTTGGCTTCTGCAGGCTTAGGCGCCTCAGGCTTGGCAGGGGCTGCCTTCTTGACATCAGCAGGCTTTGGCGCCTCGGGCTTAGCAGCCTCAGGCTTTGCAGGGGCTGCCTTCTTGGCTTCAGCTGGCTTAGCAGCCTCAGGCTTCGCAGGGGCTGCCTTCTTGGCCTCTGCAGGCTTTGGTGCCTCGGGCTTAGCAGCCTCAGGCTTGGCAGGGGCTGCCTTCTTGGCTTCAGCAGGCTTGGGCGCCTCTGGCTTGGCGGCCTTGCCCTCGGCGGGGGCGGCCCCCTCGGCGGCCCCCTCGGCGGCCTCCGCCTTGGCCTTCTCCGCCTTGGCCTTCTTCTTCCTCCTCCTCCTCTTCTGCGTCTTGGTGAGCGGCGCGTCCAGCTCGGCGCCCACGGGGGGCGCCTGGCCGGAGCGCGCCGGCAGGATGGACGCCATGCCCGGGATGCTCTTCATGAGCGCCTCGCGGTCCTTCTCCTGCAGCTTCTTCTTCTGCTGGCGCTTGGCGCGGCGGCGGAGGTGCTTCTCGGCGTCGGGGTTGTCCTTCTGCGGGAGGGGGGGGGTTAGAGGGGCCTTCGCCCACCAGCTGATTGGGGTTGCGGGGGCGGGGTCCTTAATGTTTTAGGTATGGAGTGTTATCTTTGTGTTGCTTGGTTCTCCATTTATCTGTGCCTTCCATGGCGACTATTTTTTTTTTCTTTATGAATTCTGAGAGTGACATCTATCTTTCTGTCTATTTTTGCATGTAGCAGTCTATGCACTTGCTGATGTGCATGGACAATTCTCAAAGGGATGAATCATCGTGCATTGATTATATTTTTAGATTTAATTGGCTTTTATTAACTGCTTTAGAAGACAAATAAGCAAATATCAGCTGGGAGGTCTTTGTGGGGTCATTAATAAGCTAATGACCGTCGTTCTATTAGGCTGATTATCCCTTACGCGGCAACGGTCTACAGGTACATTTAGAGTCTAGATTAAGTGCAATCTTAATCGGAATTTCACATCATTTTTGAATAAGGAAAGCCATTATTGGGTTCTATGTCAGCGCTGTCTCCTATATCTGCGAAATTGGAATAGTAAAAAGTCTTTTTTCTTAATAGGTTCAATAAAGGGTTTTGTTGCTCGTAAGTACGGGAAAAAAGAGGCAGATGATGGATATTAAACCTTATATGAAGTGCGAGCTCTATATTGCCCCACAAAAAGAAAAAAAAATAATAATTAAAAAGTTATTGTAGAATTCGTAGCAGAATGTACAACAAAGAATGTATTTATGTGATTCATTAATTTATTTATCGCAAAGGATGTATTTATTAGGATTTGTTATTTACTCATTAATTAATTGTGTTTCTTAGCAAATATATCTACTTAACATCGATTTTTATGTGTGAAAGCGTACGGAATTTGATCCCAGACAAAAGGTGATAACAATCTTTATTTCAGCCAAAAGACCTTACAATAGATAAGATTGACATGTAGAGTTGCGAAACAGAGAAGTCAATGAAAAAATTATTAGAAAGATAAAATTGACATGTAGAGTTACGAAATGGAGGTCAGTCGTGAAAAAAATACTAGAAAGTTAAGATTGATTTGTAGAGTTACTAAACAGATAATTGAGTTATGGAGTGATGTAAATTGACCCGCAGATGCAACATAACACTACTTTTAGAACGAATGAAACAAAGTAAAGAAATTCCACTAGGGGGCGCTTGGCCTACACCCCCCCCCCCCCTACAGTAGGCCTACACGTGCCAACTCTTATTATTATTACCTTTGCCTACTACTACTTTCCTACCATTGCTACTACTACCCTTACTACTATTTCTGTTACCTACTACTGTTTTTATTATATACTATTACTGCTATTACTACTATTACTGCTATTACCTGCCACTATGACTATTACCTAATATTAATACTTTTACTTACTTCTATGCGTTGTTACTACTACTTCCAATAAGTCCTATTCCCTACTATTCTTATTAGCTCCTATTAAGTCTATTCCTAATATTTTTCCCATTAGCTCCTATTAAATCTCATTCCCTAATACTTAACTATTAGCTCCTATTAAATCTCACTCCCTAATACTTTAACTATTAGCTCCTATTAAGCCCTGTCCCCCACTCCCTGTCCCATCAGCTCCTATTAAATCTCACTCCCTAATACTTTAACTATTAGCTCCTATTAAGTCCTGTCCCATCAGCTCCCCTGGCCACGTACCGCGCACTTGGAAAACCACTCGTCCTTGAGCATGTTCTCCTTGTACTCCTCGAGGCCCTCGTCGAAGCCCTGCCAAGAGCCGGTGCCGTCCTTGCTGCTCCGCCCCGTCATCCTGGCTTCCTGCGGGAGGTCAGGAGGGGTCAGTCGGGGGTCAGTGAGGGGGGGGAGGGGGGAGGGAGGGAGGGGAGGGGAGGGGAGGGAGGGGAAGGGAGGGGGGAGGGGGGGGGAAGGGAGGAAAGGGGAGGGAGATAGGGGGTGGTAGGGGAAGGGGGAGGGGAGGAGGAGGAGGAGGAAGGGGGGAGGGAGGAGGAGGAGAAGGAAGGGGAAGGAGGAGGAGGAGGATTAGGAAGTGGAAGTGGAGGAGGTAGGGGTGGAGATTGAAAAGAAATGAATGAAGGTAGGATTGGCAGAGACGGCCATTGGCTGAGAGGGGGGTGGGTGGGGGGGGGGCGATTGACTGGGATCGGCGATTCTTGGAGGGCTGAGGTAACGGGGTGATTGGGGTGAAAATGGTGATTGGGGTGAAAATGGTGATTGGATTATCAGACCTGAAGATTTGGGTTATGATTGGAAGTATGTGTTGCAATACATAGAACACACAGAAATATATGCTTCAACGTGCGCGTGTACACACACACACACAGCATTGACTCACACATTGCATCAGTAAAGATATGAGTCTGACTAACGTTGATCTTTAAATAACAGATATATTTAAAGATTCATCTGACAGTCATTTGCACTGGCACAAGTGAATATTTAGACATGGTTAGCACTGTCTTCTCCAGATGACCACTTCACTCCCGCACCGAAGACCTAATTTTGCTTTCGTCCTGAGGTCTGTTACGTTCTCACTTCACTTTTCTAATATAACCTTCCTTTTCTCAGTGCCGGAAAGTGCCAGGTAGGAGCGCACTCACTCTCTCACTCTCTCGCACTCTCGCACCTGTGGACTGCCGGCTGCGTTGGGAAAAATAACTAAAAACGCGTATAAGTTTTTGGCAGCCATTTGCGCCGCGACAGAAAACGGGAAACTAGAGACGCAGGGGAAACTTGAGTATAAATGGAGAAAAGGAAAAGAAAAAGATGGGTGATATGGGTGTAAAGTTGTTTGGTGGAATTGACTGTACCGGATGTGCAGATTAATGATTATTATTTTTATTAAGTATGGCAATAAAGGCGAATTATCCAGTTGTATATGAGGTAAAATTTCCTTCGTCGATGAATATTGCGATAAAGAAATTCTTCGGAAAATGATTACAGAATGAGTGTGCTTTGGAAACACATGTCTCTAAGATCACGTGTAAATAGCGGAGGGCAGAGTCATGATGAGTAATGTCAGGATGAGTAAATCGTGACATTTGTGAGTAATAGAAAGAGGCCAGGGAAAAATGGAAGAAAATGCCATCCCCCTAACAGACGTGAAGCCCATTATCACGCCCTAAAACACCAGTGAGCCCCTGCCCCTCCTTTCCCTCGCTGTTCTCATTTCTCTATTCATCTCAACCGACGGAAACCATCCCGCTCCGCACCATAGTATAGCCTTGTCACCATTCTTCACCATACCCGCTCACCGACACCATCGCGGGGGAGAATTTCACTCTCACTGGCGAATAGCATCCATTCCACGTCACAGCATCCCTCCTTCTTCCTTCCCTCCTCCTCCCTCTCCTTCAGGAAATTGTTTTCTATCTTTCTCTCTCTCCTTCCTTTCCTTACTCCTTCTTCTCTCCCTCCCTCTCCCTTCCTTACCTCCCTTTCCCTTCTCCTCTCCCTCCTCCCTCCTCCTTTCTCCCTCTCCTTCCCTCCTCCTCCCTCCCTCCCCTCCTCCTCCCTCCCTTCGCCACTCCCATCATGTCATCACCATCATCACCTTCATTAACTTGATAAGATAATTTTCCATCAGCAGATTTACGTCCGAGGCGAGCGTTGTTAGGCCCCGCGGGGAGAGGCCCTCGTGGCACTCTCCTCCCGGTGGCACTCTCCTCCTTGTCGCCTCTTTATCTTTCCATTCTTTTGGCTTGCTGTGTCTTTTCGTTTCCCTTTTTCTTTTTTTCTGATTGCTTCCTTGTAGGCTTGTGGTATTTCTCTTTTTCGTCTCTTCTTCTTCTTCTTCTTCTTTTTCTTCTTTTTTTTCTTCTTCTTTTTCTTCTTCTTCTCCTTCTTCATCTTCATCTTCATCTTCATCTTCATCATCTTCATCATCATCTTCTTGAATTATCATCATCATATTCTTTTTCAGAAGAAGATGAAGATTAAGAAGTAGATGGTGAAGATGATGAGAAAGAATTGAGAGTAAAAGAGGAAGAGAATAAAAAAAATGATAATAATGGAGATGATGATAATAATGATAAGGATGATAATGATGATGGTGATGATCAGAGGAGATGCACCAAGGGGCAACGACGGACCCCATAAGTAACACTCGAACATCACCCACCTCGTCGTCCTCGGGGTTTCGGCCTAACGTGTCTTAAACGTGTTCGCGATGGTCCTATTTTGCCCTTTTAGTATTTTACTTAGTTATTTGTTTATTTGTTTATCTATTTAGTTGTTTTGGTTGTTCATTCGTTCATTTGTCCTTGTTTTAGTTCTTCGTTCATCCATTCGTTCTTTTATTGGTGTATTTATTAAATTCCATTATTTATCAGTTGATTAGCTAATGGCTTTATTTATTCATTTATTTATGATATTTATTTTACGTAGCCTTTGTGCGCACTTGTGATCGCCTGTGATTTTTTTTTTTTTTTTTTCTTTTTTTGGCGAGTGAGATTTTGCGTCTGACTGAGGGAGCGACGACCCCCCCCCCCCCATGGCTCTGCTGTCTCGAGGCTTCTCAGGGGTTGCTCTAAGGATGCTGGATGGCGGTGAAGGAGGGTAGAGGGTGTTGGAGGGGGATTGGAGGGTGGTGGAGGGGGGTTGGGGGTGTTGGAGGGTGGTGGGGGTGTTTGGGGGGTTGGGGGTGTTGGAGAATGCTGGAGGGTGTTGGAGGGTGGTTGGGGGTGTTGGGGGATGCAGGAGGGTGGTGGAGGGTGGTTGGAAGTGTTGGAGAATGCTGGAAGGTGTTGGAGGGGGGTTGGGGGTGTTGAGGGATGCTTGAGGGTGTTGGAGGGGGGTTGGGGGTGTTGGGGACTGCCTGAAGGTGTTGGAGTATATTGGATGCTGAAAGGATGGGTGGAGACTGAGAGGATGCTGGAGAATATTGGAGGATGCTAAAAGGATGCTGTGGGAGGGTGGGGGATGCTGGAAGACTTTGGAGGTCGGGGAGGGGGTGGGGGCACTTGAGGGAGGTCACGCCTGTTGCTAGGATGTGAAGAGGGAAGAGACGGGGGAGGGGGAGGAGGCGGAAGGATGTTGGAGAGGGAGAGAGGGTGGTGGAGAAGGGGGCTTGGAAAGATGGGGAAGGAGAAGATGAAAGAAAAATGGCTGCTTGAAGGGGAGGAGAGAGAGAGAGAGAGAGAAAGAGAAAGGGAGAATGTAGAGAGATAGGGATATATATATAGAGAGAGAAAAATGAATAGATGAATAAAACCAAATCAAAGGAACCTCAAACGTAACCAAAACAAACACCTCATCCTGAACGAGAGACCCCCACCCCCCCCCCAACCCCATCCCACCCCACTCTCCGAACCCAACCTTGAATCTCGCTCGGCCACAGAAGGCGACGGCGTACGGGTGGAGGGGGAGGGGGAGTGGGGAGGGGGAGGAGAGGTGACCATAGACCCCCTCCCCCCCTTCTGGCGTCCTGCTGCATGTCCGCCACAGGAGGGCATGGCATAGCAACTGAATTAGCGACGCGGCTGGACCGGCGGGGCGGAGCGAGGCTGGGGAATAACACGTAGGGAAAAGAAGAAAAGAAAAGAAAAGAAAGAAGAGAGAGAGAGAGAAAAAAAAAAAAAGTGGAGATAGCTACACGGTGACTGGCTGACTGATGCGTTTGACTGACTGTGGGTGTGTTGGGGGGTCGGGGGGTCGGTCGGTCGTCGGGTCGCTCACTCACTCACTCACACACTCACTCACTCACTCACTCACTCACTCACACTCACTCACTCACTCACTCACTCACTCACACACACACACACACACACACACACACACACACACACACACACACACACACACACACACACACACACACACACACACACACACGCACCCACCCACACACACACACACACACACACACCCACACACACACACACACACACACACACACACACACACACACACACACACACACACACACACACACACACACACACACACCACACACACACACACACACACACACACACGCACGCACCCTCGCAGATGGAAGACAAACAGCATCTCCCATAGCAACACAAACGATGTTGATTCTGTGACGTAACGTTTGTCATGGTCGTTTGTATGGAAGGGAGAGGGAGAGACGGAGGAAGAAGGGAGGAAGGGAGGGAGGGAGGGAGGGAGAAGAGGAGGAAGGGGAGGAAGGGGGAGGGAGGGAAGGGGAAGGAGGGAGGGAGGGAGGGAGGGAGAGAGGGAAGGGGGGAAGGAAGAAGGGAGGGAGGGAGAAGGAAGAGGGAGGGAGGAGGGGAAGGAGGAAGGGGGGCGAAGGAGGAAGAAGGGAGGGAAGAGGGAGGGAGGGGGAGGAAGGAAGAAGAGCGGGAGGGCAGGAATTCAGGGAGAGGGAGGAGGGAGAGTGAGAGAGGGGGGGGGTGGCGAGGTGCCTGATAGTTAGGATCATAATCTCCTGACAGGGAAGTGCTTCAGCTGTCTGTGATAATGATGATGTCATGATTGATGGCTGCATCGACGACAGCACCGATAATTAGAATCCCGAAGCAGCAATAATTAAAGACCAAAGCAAACAAACAAACAAGCCGAAAAAAAACGAGATGACGAACCGCAAAGACGGAAAATGGCGGTCCAAAGTCTTAGCATCTTAGGTCGTGCATGATGTAATTTATTCCATACAGAAAGAGAAAGAAAATGAGCATACCATTAGTGTATTTATTTACTTATTTACTCATTTACTTTAAGGGTATGTAGAACTATTGTGGTAGCCTTTGTTTAGGAAGTCATAAGGTCCAATTCCCCAGCGCATCCATGGCCGAGTAGAGAATGTAACTCAATTTTATCTTCCGTTTTTAGATTATGTAACTTTTCGCTTGTCACTAACTCCGTCTTTTCCTTCTCTTGCAGGTATGTTGGGCGTGTGTTGCAAGGCTGACTTCCGGTCGTTGTAAGTGGTTCTGCTTTTGGCGATTTCGTTGCAAATTGAAAATCATTGTTTTAAACGGTAGGGTTTTTTGTGTGTCTTCTTTCCGTTCGTGATGTCTGTCTGTCTGTCTTCCTGTCTATCTGTCTTTCGACCTGAGAAGATGTGTGTCTGTCTTTCTGTCTGTCTGTCTCTCGACCTGTTCGTATGTCTGTCTATCCATTTACATAAATCTAGCTTTCTTGTCTACTTATCTGTCTGTTTATCTATCTATCTTCCATCTGCCGGACTGTCTAACAGATATTTTTTCTGCCATTCTGTCTATCTATCTATGTATCCGTCTCTATCTATCTCTATGATACTAGTTTCAACCAGAAATTTCTTTTTATTACGTCCTCATTATTCGAGCTCATTCGTTCTCCCGTTTCGCTCGCGTGGCTCGGCATACGATGGGGAGCAGCGGGCGTGGCCTCCTGGTGGCACGGGTGGCGTGACGGCGGGGCCACATGGCGCTGGGGAGGAGGCGGTGACGGAGAGTGCCACGCCACGCCGGCCTGGCTCTCTCTCTCTCTCTCTCTCTCTCTCTCTCTCTCTCTCTCTCTCTCTCTCTCTCTCTCTCTCTCTCTCTCTCTCCTCTCTCTCTCTTCTCCTCTCTCTCTCTCCTCTCTCTCCTCCTCTCCTCTCCTCTCCTCTCTCCCTGTCCCTCCACCCCCCCCTTTCCTCGGCTGCTCGGGTAGGGGGAGGGGCGGCTTGTCGAGATAGTTGTGCCAGTGCCAGGGTGCCAAAA